CCCCATAATTGAATAACCTTCTGATGTTCAGCAGCAGTCAGGAAATACGTCCGCAAAGCCAACAACTGGCCCTTGGTTCACTTTTGACACAGTTCCTCCAGATAAATGGAGGGAAAATGAGTGAATTCGAAGCATGGATTGACCTACAAATGTCAAAACCTGGGGCAGAACTCCAAGCTGTTCTCAGAGAATTCTCCTCTAGATTCACTAGCACTCTCAGAGACTGGTTTCAGAGTCTCGGAGGATATAGACAGCTCCAGTTCATCAAGGTAGATACTGCAGCAGGGATACTTGGACTCTTACACCAAGAGTTCATCAGAGATTTTAATCTCATTGATAAGCAGATGCGTCAAGAATACTTTGAGATGAAATGTTGTTCTTTAAAAAGAAAAGACATTGAATTTCATTATCAAAGAATGTCTCGGCGATATTACATGCTCAATGGATTTAATGATCCAAACCTCCAACAAGTATACCTGTCATCACTACCACAAGAACTGCAGCCAGAACTTCAAAGGTCCCTCCTAGCCACAAAGAAGGAACTAAAGGATATCTCCATTGGGGAAATCCATCAACTGGCTCTAGCAGCTCTCAACAAGCTCTGTGAAACACAAGAGCTATTCTCCTCCATGATGAAGGAAAGGTCCAAATTCAAGAAGGCTTGCAGAAAGCCTTACTTCAGATCAAATGCAAAGATAACAAGTGCTCCTGTAGCCCTGCAAAGCACTCCCGTGACAAAACTGCAAGAAGATCCCTTAAGACTAAGAAGTTCAACAAAAAAGGAGGAAAGTTCCGATTCTTCAGAAAGAAAAAACATGGCAGTCCAAAGTCAGACCGTTATTTTAATTGCGGAGAAAAAGGACACTATTCGAAGAATTGTCCAAAGAAATCTGCCAAGTCAGCCAGAATCATACAACAATTACAAGCTAGTGCAGCATACCAACATGAAGAAGATGCTGATCTAGAATCCCTGTAATCAGAACAGGATGATCCAGATATGGATACAGTCTTCGCCATCCCCAACTCAGAATATGAAGACTCTGGCCCTGAAGATGAAGTAGACTACCATGTTCCAGTCTACAACATGGAACAATATTCCATTGCTATGCCAACCCCTCCACTGCCAAATGTTGAGGTCCAAATTCTAGCTTCGAAGTATGATAATCCAGTAAGCTTAATTGCCTACATGGATACTGGTGCAAGAAGAATGATGATGAACCCAAAGGTCCTTCCACATGATTCTAGGGTCCCACACATTGAATACTTCAAAGCTGCTGATGACCAGGTATTCAAAACAGAACTAATTACCAAAAACAAGATTGGTATTAAGTTCTTCCCCGGCTGCATCAAATGGACAAAAGTTCTTGGAAGCTCACTACCAGACAAGGACCTCCTCATCGGAATGGATGTATACTGTCAGCAAGAAGCCTTCAAATCCTCCCTACCAAATTGAAATACAAAAGACAGTTCAGACCCTACTCCACCATTCTAAAGATGTTTTCCATCAAGGAAGCTCCAACAAAATATGAAGACATGAAAAATAAACTTCTGAAGTGCTGTGATGACAGCCATGATCAATTCCACCATCCTAGCTTGCTATGGAAAAATCAAAAGTTCTTCATACAGCTTCCTTTCAAGAAAAATGAGGACGTCAATCCAACAAAGGCCACTCTTCCAGGAATGACCCCATCAGATTTAGCCTTGGCCCGTGAAGAATGTGCTCAACTCCTCAAACAAGGATTGATTGAGCCCACCAAGTCAAATTGGGCTTGCCAGGCCTTCTATGTGGAAAAAAGATCTGAACATGTCTGAGGAAAGAAAAGGCTTGTCATTGATTACAAGCCTCTGAATCTGTTCCTAAAGGATGACAAATTCCCCATTCTCAAGACCAGCTCTCTGTTCACTCACTTGAGAGAAGCCCAAGTCTTCTCTAAGTTTGATCTTAAAGGAGCTTTCTAGAAATTAGGAATTGTTCCGGAAGACAAGCCCAAGACAGCCTTTTGCATTCCAGATGCACAGTATCAATGGCATGTTTTGCCATTCGGACTCAAAACAGCCCCGTCACTGTTCCAGCGAACGATGGCCCGAATCTTTGAGCCCATTCTATATAGTGCCTTAATCTACATAGATGACATCCTTCTGTTCTTAAAGGATGAAGAGGCCCACAAAGTCCTACTGGCCCATTTCCATCAAATCGTAGACAAGCATGGAATCATGCTTTCAGAAAAGAAGAGCCAAATAGGACAAAGCCAGATTGAATTCCTAGGGATGCAGATATCCCAAGGAAAGTTCCAACCTGGCCCACACATTGCTTGAAAATTATTGACGTTTCCAAATAAGAACCTTTCTGTAAAGCAGATTCAACAGTTCTTAGGGATAGTTAATTATCTCAGAGATTTCATCCCACGTGTGACTGAACACACTAGCCAGCTGTCAAAAATGTTGAAAAAGAATCCCTCTCAATGGGGGACAGAACAGACAGCCGCTATCAGTGCTTTAAAAAAGATAGCACAATCACCACCTCCTCTAAAGATTCCAAGCACAGGAAAACGAGTCCTACAGACAGACGCAAGTGATCACTACTGGGGGCCATCCTTATCGAAGAAGAAGGCGACAAGAGGTACTATTGTGGTCATGCTAGTGGTCAGTTCAAAGAATCAGAAAAGCACTATCACACCATCTACAAAGAGATTCTTGCGGTAAAATATGGAATTCAAAAGTTTGATTTCCATCTTAGAGGTTTTAATTTTGAGGTCCGGATGGATAATTCATCATTTCCCAAGGTCCTTGATTTCAAAAATAAAACCCTCCCTGATCCGCAATTACTTAGACTTAAAAGCTGGTTTGAAAGATATGACTTTTCTGTCAAACATATAAAAGGCCACCACAACCTCATCCCTGACTTCTTAACTTGACCAAAACCAGTCCAGATAATCACTCCTGTAAAACCTTCCCTCTCATCTACATGAGTACCAGTATCCACACACCACTGTGTTTCCCGGTTAAAACAGACCACCATTTTCCCCCAGGACTAGACAGCACTGCCTCCCCTGAACAGATCAAACACTATGCTAGAATCCACCTATTCGACCATTTATCCAGAGTCTGTAAGGTCAACCCACATGAGTTCTTGTACAACCCAGATCAACCGTACCTCACCATCTTCCACCTCCGCCCTTTTTTCAAGGTTACACAGGATGGTATTTGGTACCTATGGTGCCAGATAACTCTCTACAGGATCGCACTAAACTTTCCACTGATGTAGTTGCACACACACCTCAATGATCCCACTAATGAAGGATCAACTCTGTGGCAACTCCTCGAAATGCTCAATCCACTTATGTGGTGGAGAAAAGAAGTTGAGCGACTTCTCCAATGTCACAAGATCTGGACCTTCTCTCCTAAGGAAGTCCCACTGGTACACACTGTCTTCTTTCTACACCGACCATACTTGCTCAATACACAGACACAGGGACTTTACACTCAACATGAGGTATATACCTGGTACACTGGGTTCAACTATCCCCAGTCACTCAAAGATATCACAGACCATCTTGGCAAAGTCCTATGTAGAGAAAATGGGCACCAACCAAATCCTCCATTACAACCCAGCATCAGCTCTGCAATAGCTCCACCTCTCCATGTCTATGCACCAGACAACATCTTCACTGTTAGCAATAGCAGATATTTCGCTCGTGAAGATACGACAACCTCCGAGACAGCTCAACCATCACAAATCTCACAAGATCAACCAGATTACAACTCCACACTGTTCCAGGATTCCCAGGACCCATACAATGAATCATCATAAGATCCTAATCAATGGCTCGCACGAGATTGTCTCCAGGAAACTGATTCAGACTCATCCACAGACACAGGCACCATCTCCCTGTAATGGGCCCCATATCTTTAAGGCATCCGACTATCTGTACAAAGTCACGGGTCCTTATCTTGTAAAATATTTTGTTTTGTTGTGTTTTGTCAAAAGTAAAATAGTGTCTTGTCTGCCACTTTAATAAAAGTGGTTTTATCTTTTATCTAATTAGTCAAAAGTGGAATAGTTATGTTATCCACTTTAAGAAAAGTCTTTTGTTTCTTTGTAACATTTTTCAAAAGATGAATAGTGTAAAATCTTATCTTGTCGGATAAGATTAGAGTCCAGGTTCTTAAGCCTCAGCTATATAAGGCGAGGCCCTCTCTTTGGTTTGGCAGAAGTCCTCCAACCAAGAGAACTTTGTACACAGTTTGCTCAGTAATCAAATATGAGTTTCTAAATCCTCTCTCTTTCTCTCTGAAATTCTGAGTTCCATCACTTATGTTACGACATTCATTTCCCTAACTAGTATGCTCTATGCTTGCCTCTAGTAAAGGATCCTGCATATCAGAACATTTAAGCTTAAGATCCGTGCTACGATCTCCATGACCATGAGTAATGAGCACCTGTAACACTTAAAGCTAAAAGTACGCAAGAGGCGGAAAGAGACTGACAGTGTTAGGATCTCCCATTGTGAATGATTTGGATAATTCATCATTTTCCAAGGTCCTTAATTTCAAAAATAAAACCCTCCCTGATCCGCAATTACTTAGACTTAAAGCTGGTTTGAAATATATGACTTTTAGTTGTTTTTCATTTTTTGTTTTCTTATCTCTCGAGCAAAGAGAGAGATAGAGAGAGATATTAATAGGTTTTCTTATATTGAAAATAATCTATTGATAAAATTACTAAACGCATTTTCAAAAATGATTTCTGTCTAAAATTGAAAATGTTTTCATTTTTATTTTCATGTAAAAAATAAAATCATTTTAAAACGAGTTTCAAACGCGCCCTTAATGGCGGACCCACCTATAAAAAAAAATATATATATATATATATCATAGCAATCGAATGGTCCATCAAATAATCTGTGTTTTATCCCCATTGGTCCGTCATAAGAATCTAGGTCAACTCTTAGTGAGAGCAACAAAGTAAAGTCCAAAGCCTTTTTAGAAAACCCAAAAAAAAAAAAAAAAAGGAAAAATCCTCTTTATCGCCCCTTCTTTCTCTCCTCTGTTTCTCTATCTACTATTCTCTCAACAGCGAAAATGGTGTCGACGATTCCCCTAACGGGTCAGATGTCAAATCCACATGGACTCGGAATCACTGAGTGGGAAAGACGAACCTCATCTTCTTCACTATCACTATGTAACTCTCTCTCTCTCTCTCTCTCTCTCTCTATATATATATATATCTATATTATATTGATATCTGTTTGGGTGCTGAGAAAAAAATGTGGGAAATGAAGGAGCTTTTCATTCAACTGCCTAGGGGTTCCAACGTTTATTTATTTGAAAATATATTTTCCTCATTGGGTTTCTCTTTGTTTTTCTGTTGTTCGTAGTATACTTGATGAATCTGGCAGATATTAGTGTACATATATATTCCCACATGAATTTATTTTTTGATGATTAAAGAAAGCACTGACCATTATTGAGAATGAAAATTGAGATATATAAATGGGATGTTAAATTGGAAGCAATAAACTGAGAATGTTCACAAGGAAAAAAAAAGGTGAAATTGAAGAAAAATGTGTTAGGTTTTTTTTTTTTTTTTTTTTTTTTTTTGGCTATAATAATGCTTCTGTGATTTTGAAGTTCATAGAAATCGATAGTTGTGAATAATAGTAGCTCCCATTTCTATCCAAATTGTCGAACAGAAAAAATTGCTTCAAAACGTTTAAGTAACATCACAATCTTCTGTACTTCTAAGAGTTAATACAAGCTCAAGTTGATGAAAAAACCAATTGCTTGTTATTCAACACACCCTAACACTTTTCAGCATTTGTTTTTTCATTGTCAACCAAAAATTCTGGACTTTTGGATTTTGTTTTTCTGTGGAGAAAATATGGAAAAGTGTGAGGTAGTACAAGTTTACTTATTAGTTTGCAACCTCATTTTCCTTGGAGGTACTTTTTAGGTGTTTTGGTAGTTTTCTTTTGGATTTGGAATATTTAGTTAAGTATTGATTTATTAACCTGTTCTTCTCTTGCCCCACTTAACAGGTAATATAAATTCAACTGCGAACATAGTTGGCAAGCAGATTCCGTGGTATGGTTGTAGGAAATTGAGGCATAATCGTAGATCTCTTTGTGTATATGGTCTATTTGGAGGGAAGAAGGAAAATAATGAGAAGGCTGATGATGCCTCTTCAAAGGTTAACCAAGCCACTCTTAATCATGTATTTTCTTTATATTTTATTGACAACTGAAAGAAAGACACTTTGATTTAGGCATGTCTTGAATTTTGATCAATCTTCGAAATAGTTGACGTAATAGTTACTTTCTATTGGGATTTTCCATGACTTCCCTTTATTTTGTTTTTACTGTATTTTTGATAATATTGCCGGTTAAATACATGTCTCCACAAAACGCATTAACAGGTGGGGGCGTTTGTTATCATCATTAAAGTATTTGGATTCGCATTGAATCTGCTGTTTAACTCTATGAGGAACCGGAGAAGACCTTAGTATAGGCACAAGTTTTTTTGCTGTTGTTATCTGTAATTCTGGGAATTTATACTATGTAACATATGCACAATGTTTAGCATTTCTGTCATGCCATCTGAAATCCAAATGTAACTTTTCTGAGGACAATGCTTGATGGTTTTGGTCTTTTGGTGCATGATGAATAATTACAACTATTAGGGCACGTTTACTTCACATCAAGGGGAAAGAGAAAGTGAGGACCTTTTCCATCTAATAATGTGTTTAATTACAAACTCAATAATGTATTTAGTGCACCACACACAATATAGGAAATGAGAAAAGGGTATGTCAATCCTTGCATGTCCCTTGGTTTTGATTCCTTGTTAAAGAGAATGGTTGCCAAATTTACTTATTTACCCTTAATGAGTCTATATAGTCAATGGTTATTTAACTGTGCAAAAGGTTCATTTAGTGATTAAATTGATAATATTGCTATTCGTAATTTTAATAAACACTAGAATGAGATTGTTTCCCATTACACCATCTAATAGTAGAGTAAATATTTGAAAGGAAATCAATGATTCTTATTCTTATTACTTTACTTTTCTTTCTAATCCCATAACCTTTCCCATTACATTCCTTTTACGGTTTGGTAAACGCACCCTTAGATTGGATTATGAGTTATAAATAATCTTCATCATCACCTCTATCATTGCATAGCTAATTTCTTGTTCTTTTGCCTCTCAAACCTGTGATTGAGACTAACGCTATCACTACGGTTATGCTGATTTTTTTAGGCAGGGATTTTCGGAAACATGCAAAACCTATATGAAACTGTGAAGAAGGCACAAATGGTTGTCCAAGTGGAGGCTGTTAAAGTACAAAAAGAACTTGCCGTGTATGAACAATTAAACTCATTGCGACATGACCTTTCTAATTTTTCTACTTGCTTTAATTCCTAAGTTTTCCTATTTTTCTTCTTATGTTTGCAGAGCAGAATTTGATGGTTTCTGCGAAGGCGAGCTAATAAAGGTATCTCCTTGCATGTATGCAATTTGTTTCTGGTACTAGAAATAATAATATCATTCTAGTAGTCTTCTTTTGCAATTTAGAGATTAGTTAATGAACAAATGGACTATAGTTTCATGAGTCCATTCATTTGATCTTATGCCGGCGTCCTCACTGAACTTTCCTGAAGTGTTGTACATTTTATTTTATGAGAACAGGAAATGTTTTACTTTTAATCTTTGACTTTTAACTTTCTATATTTGCACTTCCTTCTTTCGCAAGCACAAAGAAAGGTTGTAAACTTGTAACTGATCGCTACCATGTAGGTTACACTATCTGGGAACCAACAACCTGTACGCACAGAGATCACTGAAGCTGCAATGGAATTAGGACCAGAAGTGAGTGTCTACAGTGTACTTTACCATCTCTGTCTTTCAATAGATGACATTTAATATGTTGTTACCTATCATCTTACTTTATCTCTTTGTTGTTCTTGTTGGTTTATTTATTTATTTGTTTTTAAAAGAACTACTTTCTTCTTGTTGGCAAATTAAAATGCATGTCCCTTGTGTCTTATCACTCTTTTTCTGTACATCTGGTAGTCATGGACTGATGGGAACTTCCCGTTCATCATATAATAGTGGGCATTTAAATCCTCTCATGTTGTACTCGTTATCAGTCAAGTAAATTGAAAGATCCATTCTCTTGGCATATAGGGCATGTTACCAAACCATGATGCAATGTAATGGGAAAAAGGTAATGAGTTGCGAAAGGAACATTAATTCCCTTTCTAGTATTTACTTATTAGAAAGTGGGATGGGAAACCATTCAGTTCCATTTCTAATGTTTACTAAAATTAGGAATAAGAAGCTTATCAATGTAGATACTACATTTTACACGAGTAAATAATCATTGGCTTAAAACACGTAACCTTTTGAAGGATATATAAGTATCAATACCAAGTGGGTGTAAGAATTGAAATCTCTTTTTCTCGTTTCTTGTATTGCGTGCAGCCCACTAAATTACCATTCATGATTTTGTAAGTAAACACATGAATAGGAAAGGAAAAAGAGTTGAGTCTCCCTTTCTCACCTATTCATGTATTTGCTTACAAAATGAGGAATGATAATCAAGTGGGGTTCAAAAGACGGTAATGCAGAAAGAGAATGCTAATGTAAACTCCCCTCTTGGTATTGTTTCCTGTTTAATTGGAATAAACATTGAATTTACTTATATGCCCCTTAGCAAGCAAATGAAATCAAATGAGTATTTTATCATGCATAAAGACATTTAGTTATTTAGTTGATAAGTTCTCATTCTTAAAGTTTAGTAAACACTAGAAACGGTATTCGATAAGCAAAAGCTAGAAAAAGAATCATTATTGATTTCCATTTTTATTATTTTTCTTTCTCTTTTCAACCTTATACCTTTCCTATTACATTTCTTTATGGTTCAGTAACATGCCAATGTAATTGTTAGTTTCTTTTTCCTTTGTTTTTTAAATGATAAAAAGTAGCCGTTTAACTTGTATTTATGATACATTGCACTTTTGCCTGTTCCGAGTCCCAAAGTGGAAACTTTATACTTGGGTCATTACTGATTTCACTATCACTTCATATTTTTCTCTGTTGTGCGTGTTAGTATCTCATATCTCATATTTCTACTAATCTATCACTAAATACACCGAAAATTTATGTTTATGCCGATCCCATCCGAGAATATTGGTTGCAAGTTGCAACTCATGATCACCGCCTCACTATCCAGAATTTGGCACACGATCATTTGCAAGATTCCATGAGGTGCTCAATAGAGAGTGATTTTTACGTGTTCCCTCTTTGAAATGCAGAAACTCTCTCTTTTGATTACTGAGGCATACAAGGATGCCCACCAAAAAAGTGTTCAGGTAAGAATTTCTCAGTTTTTTTCTGTCAAAGAAAGAAAACGTATTTATCTCTTGTATTTTGCTGCTAAATGAAAACCTTCACCTTGTTTATCCTCACAGGCTATGAAAGAAAGAATGAGTGATCTTGCCCAGAGTCTAGGAATGCCTCCAGGTCTCAATGATTCACTACAGTAATCATGCTTATTTTATTTTATTTTATTTTTTTCATGTACTTGTCTGAGATGAACATCAATTTTGTATGTGTACCAGGCTCCAGGCAAAAATGCTCCCTTGTAGGATTCATTTAATTTTACAGTTTAAATGGAAGTTGTTGTGTTTGAATCAATATTTTACAGTTGGGTATTTGTTTTACGGCAACTTTTATGGTTGGGTGGGCATTTTTTGCCCTTCCGTTGTCCTGTTATTTTAACAGTTAGATTAACTTTTTAACGGTCTGATCTGCAAGTGGTCATGCTAAAAATTTGATAACGGTCTGGTCTGCAAGTGGCCATGCTAAAAATTTGATAACGATCTGGTCTGCAAGTGGCCATGCTAAAAATTTGAAGTGCGGGCCGCAGAATTGCTTCTAATCATAGATCAAACCGTTGAAATCTTAATTCAACAGTCAAAATAGCAGTTTCTACCAATAGGGTGTAAATACAGTTCTTATCATAAGTTTTGCCTTGTTTTACTCCTTTAGTCTTGTAGCTCTAGACAACTTACAAAATTCCAAGGTGACTTGATGAAAGCAGACTATAGATTTGCTGGGGTAAAGAAATTAGTCATGAATTTGTACTCTTGATGGTTACAATTTATTTTACGCAAGTTGGATGCTTTACAAGGTCCATAATCTTGGCAAAATACAATCAACTCCAAGGACATATGGAGATTGGAGACCCAATTTTATCTTGCATTGAAGAATTTTCAAGTGAAACAATAAATTTGATTCACATTTCTGCCTGAATTCCCAATTCATCTCGACCTATATAAGACAAATGAATTACATGAGAATATCAGTACCTAAACTTGAACGAATGGTTCCTAATCTAGTTGCTTCATCACTAACCCATAATTTATGTGGTATTTTTTGTCCCCTCTAATCAATCAATATTTCTCCGCCGCGCCTCGTCTCTGAGAACCATTGTCAAGATTTCGGCAATTCCTTCCCCGCCAAAAACGATTTGAATAGAACGAAAGCTCGTTTTGGCTGAAAGAGTGGAACTTCATGGCCAGCTCCCCTCACAGTTGCAAAAGTCAGGCCTTTGTAAACTTCTGTCCACCCTCCTACCTATAGAAAGAAAATTTGATCCTCAGAACTTTTTAGAACAACTTTCAATCTCATATCATATGGGTATAACAATAAGACAATATTGAAATTAATTTTTGCTATGTAGGTTTTGTGAATACCTGTCCCCCAGAGTACCATGGATACCACCTCGTCTTTATGGTGAGATTGAGATGGCTGAGGGAGAACCTAGTGGCAGTCACTGGAACTACTGAATCAGTGTCTCCACTGCAGAGAAACAAAAGCAATATGTTACAAATTTTATTCTTTTTTGGTAGAAAAACAATATGTAAAACTTGCATTTCAATAAATTATCTTATCCTAAGTCACTTTCAATAACACATAAAGGTGAGTATAATTTAGAAGCTTGCGTATTCAGATTATGGATCACATGGCGGCCAACAAGGGTTTGCATTGACCAAAAGATAGTAACTTATCTGTAAGGTACAAAATTAGGTTAGGTGTGTTTGATATAGGTTGATTGTCTTAGTACAATAATTGTGATTCATTTCAGCAAATGTTACTCGCATTTATCAAATTCTATGAGCAGGAGAAAAAAAAAAAAAGAAAAAGGAAGAAGAGAATTACATGGTAGGATATGAGAAAGGACACCCTATTAATAGGACATAGTATTTAATCATACGATCATCTCTGAATATAATTAAATTAAGTAAGATCATCTCCATGTCGATTTTAATGCTATATTTTGCACTAAAAAAATATGAAAATTATTTATATGTAATGTGCCAGTTAACTTTGTGCTGTGATGTATAATAAATTTCAAATGTTATATCTACTTTTTATTATAATTGTTAAGCTTTGAAATAACAATGAAAAACTAATTTAAAAGTAATAATATTGTAATAATTAAATGAATCAATTCATCAACCAATATAAAATTTAGGAAAAAAAAAATTGAATTAGAGATTGATTTTCATACTAATTAATCCTAAAATTTGGTATTGACACGCTTACAGAGTGATTGATCTGTTAGTTTAGGGAAAAGAAAGTTTGCAAACTTTACAAAGAAGTGATTGACTTTTGAAGGTGGGATCACATAAAAAAACAAGAACAATGGACGTAGAGTCCAATGTACATCGTCATCTAGATTAAAGCACAGTGATTGATGAGTTATTTATTAGAGATAGAGAGAGAAAAGCTGTAATAAAAATCCAGTCAAACACTCAACTCTCATCGTTTAAAGAAAGAAAAATGTTGCAGAAACAAAATCTTCCAGTCAAACACTCAACTCTCAACGTTTAAAGAAAGAAAAAGGTTGCAGAAACAAATCTTCATTTATGTGATTGGAAATATTGTGGTCAGAAAAATGTTGGGAGAAAGAAAGGTTAATTAGGTGAGTAATTTTGACGTCATTTTGACTGAATTCAATGTCTTTTCGTTGTAGATCAGTTTGTACAGAATGAACGATGATCGATAGATGTCTGCTAAAGTTATTGTCAACGAAACATCCCCTCTTTTTATTTCTCATCCTAAGTTAAGTTGTCTAGAAAAGGACTGAAAATCTTATCTTAATTTAATTTCTTACCGTTGTTTTTTTTACAGGTTCGAGTTGAAAACATTTATCACTGTCTTTTTTATGAATTTGAGTTAAAAATTTAAATTAAAATTAAAATTTTTATGATAAAAAATGTTGTAACAAAAAAGATTTATGATTCAAACGGTTAAAAAATAAGAGTTTTCAAATGTTCGAGTTCTTCTTTTAAAGTTTGTATAGAGATAGAAAATTGTTGCCATGCAAGGTTAATTATTAATGGAATATTGTTTCATACATACACGGATAACTAGTCATTTGAATCAAATGTATCGTTTGTCTATTTGTTTTTTTTATTTTTGTTGTTTTTAATGGAAATGTCAAATAATGGTTAAGAATAGAGATATGGAGAAAAAGACAATATATATATATATATATATCACGTGATCAGATAATTACTATTAATGTGAAAAGAAAAATCTCCAATAAAGATCCCTAAACAAATCTCAAGGAAAAAAAAAAATCCTTTCAACTTTCATCTCAAACATGATACAAAAGACACAAGACAAAACCAAAGAAAAAGCCTCCTACTCTACTTCTAGCTACGCTTTGCTGTTTGGCACTTGGAAGTGTTGATCTTCTAGATCAAGATGATAAGACCTTTCTAGATAAGCTAGCTATAGCTAGGTTAAAATTCCAATGGAAATTATTGGAAAAAAGTATCACTTTCTTCCCTAAACGTGCTTAATTAACTTATTTTCCGAGTTGATAAAATACAAGATGATTTTCTCTTTTGCTAACACACACACACACACGTGTAAGTGTTAGTTTGACCATTTCTTACTAAAAGGATTGCGAGAAAATCATAAAATCAAATCACTCATAATTTATAGCCATTAATAAAAAAACTAATTTAACATTACCTGAAAACCCATATCCTTAGACCGGCTGAAATCAAGAACTTGTAAGTGGGCAGTACAGAATTCTCTGAGTCCTTCCAATTCTTGATCAGAACATCACTGCCCAATCACCAAAACAATATTAACAAAATAGAAATAATAACAGGAAATTTTAATGGTTGGAATTTGGTTTTCCATGACTACCAGTAGTGCACAAAGTGTTTTTTTTTTTTTTTTTTTTTAATATGACCACTTTTATGTTGTTCAACATGACGACTAATAAATTAAGCCGTTAAAAAATTAATTTAAAAACTAAAGATTCTTCGCTATCGGTATTGAAGAGCCTTTGTCCTACCATAAAACTTTCCTAATAATATTGAACAAATGAACAACTTTTTTCCTCAGCAAATTATCACCTGCAAGCAGTCCACTTATAAGGAATTGATCCAGTGGTGTTTGCATGCATGGCCTTCTGAACATCTTTCCTGTTGTAATACTTCTCAGCGTAGCTCTCAGTGCATGGGTCGTACCCAGAAACCCTTCTCCTCAAAAGACTGTTCTTCAGCCTCATATGTTTAATGATATTGGTGTTGTTGTTGTCGGACAATGTTGTTGTGCATGTTGGGGCGTAAATGCTGTACTGATCGATGTCGCCGAACTCGCGGTTCATCGCGTAGTAAACGGCGTCGTCGCAGGGTTTTGTGGCTTTGTCTGCTGAGAAATTGCAGTGGTTCAGGATTGACTTGTAGGTTTGGTCGGATATCATGGAGTGAGTCCACCAGTATGTCACCGTTCCAATGCTGTCATAGTAGTTGTCTGTCACAGCATTCCCCACCTGCATATACACGTTATATATATACGTATATTTATATGTTAGATATACGTACATATATGTACATCATGTACAATATATATATATATATATAGCTGGCTCACGACTTTCTATTGTTGAGCTCAATTTCACCAGTGTCACTTACGTAAGTGGTGTATGTTAAGTACAATTAGTGGCGACCTGTTAATTACTTGTAGAGCGATTTTTTTTTATTAAATTTTAACTGTATTATTTCTAAGTATTCGTGCTAAAAATAATGCACCTTGTGACACAAAATGATCCCACTCATATATATATATATAGCTCGGATTCTTAAAATTCAATTAAAACGCTAGCTCTCTACATAGATAAAGTAGAACCCCCATCATGAAATTTTCCGTAATAATTAATGATCCAAAACAAAAAGGTTATATATAGTTGTGTTACTGGTTAATTGTCACAAAGTATTAAAAGTAATATTTGTATGAGGTGTGACTGACTAGGAAATCAGGATATTTCCCATGAAGTGTAGTAACAAATTGATGCTAGAAAAAAAAATATAAATAAGTTAAATTAATTAGGGCAGTCACGATATATGAATATAATCGGGAAAAGAGCAAAATGTATAATTAGCAGTAACTTATAAGTGATCATGAAATGAGCAAATATTGTACATAAATGAAGAATTTGACTTGACTTACAATGAAGCCTTTAAGATTGATGATGGAATTCGAATGTTTTTTATTGTAGTCAACGATTATCTTTGCCAACTGTGGAACATAATGCCCTGCATATAACATATAAATATATAGTAAATAATTAGTTTGTTATGTGAAATAATTAATTAGAACTACAAAGCATTTCTTTTTTCTAGAGCATATATTTATAGATTTATTTTTATTTTTATATTTACGTCATGTACCTGCATAACTCTCGCCAGCTATGTAGAATTCTCTGTATTTGTATCCTGGAAATCTTGACATCCATCTAAGAAGAAATATTAGAGCATCCTGAGCTGTACGTTCCAAAATTCGCCATTATCTTGATCAGGATTTGTATAAAATTAATTATGAGAACAAAAGAATATATTTATCCAATAGAGAAAAAAAAAGAACAAAATTAGTAACAAAAATACTTTTAATTTTTTTGATAATTATAAGGAATTCGTAAATTAGGATTAAATATATATTTTTGATTAATTATAGCTATGGCTAATTAACTTAATACTTTCTTCAAAAATTTTGATTAATTATAGCTATGGCTAATTAACATTTAATTAATTTTTTTTTAAAAAAAAAAAAAAAAAAAAAAAAAAAAAAAAAACTTAATACCTGTCCTTTTGTCCCCGGAATTTTTGAGGTCGGAGCTTGTATTTGTATAAGAGAAGCCCACACCAGCAGGTGATTCAAGAAATAAAAGATTTGCTTCTGTAATTAATTAAGGGATAAAAGAAATTAATACTGAAACAGAAGAGAAATTATATATTCTATTAATTGAAAAGTTCTACCAGGTACAATATTTTCTCTATCGGGTAAGTTTTTCTGTAGTTATTCGATTAAACATCAGATCAAACCCTTACAATTTATACTAATAGTTGAGGAATTATATATTCTACCTCTAGAGTAAAATAACATATATATTCCATCGTAAAACAAAATTTGAATAATTAACCATGCAGATCAAGTAATAGTTATTAATTATACCTCTATTCCAGGAATATTTATTCAGAAAAAGAGATGAAGCAGTTATGTTAATGCGAAATGGTCCAATCTCCTCTGACGCTCCATATGCTACTGAGGAACAACCTGGTCCTGCAAAGTCCCAACACCATTAATAATTATAACATATGTATGATCATGAGAAAATTGAAAAAGCAAAATTTCAGTCTCCCAGTCAAATTTGTAATTATAAAAATATTTAATATAAGTTTCCATTTAAATGTTCCATAAAGAAAAAAGATTCCATTTAAATGAACTTGGAAAATACATGGCATTAGTAACGGAATTAAGACAATAATAGTAAGTGTAGTAGATAATGATGTTTTGTACTCATCTCCAAATTAATAACGCAAGCCTTGTCTTCCTCTGAAACAAAATATTGATATCCTCTAATTTTGAAGTTGACTACGTAATAAATATCAACAAACGATCAACTACCCACTAAATCAATATTTTCAGATATTTTTATGCGTTTTTATGTCTTGAGAATTGAGATGTCAGCTCTGTTATATTAAATGCCCAAGATAGTGACCCCAAATATATAGTTATCCTCTTCTTGTTGCTGTTGGTGGGTTTTGGTTTATATACACATATATATATATATATATATTTTTTTTTTTTTTTGGGTTTTTGGTATTTTTTTCTCACAGCTTTTAACCAAACTAGCAAGGTACCTTATGAAGTTTTAATTACAGTAAATCATCCTTCAACATAATAAAATATTGCATAGTGAAACTAAATTATGAATAATGTTAAAACTTAGAAAGAAAACACCTTCATGCACCTAATATAACCTATTCCGGCTCTATTATGATCTGATTTACAATTTTTTATATCTTTTAACTCGTATTACGTGTATGAGGGGTTTTCCGTCCGCATCTTAGCAACCTCACAACACTTAATTTAATTTAAAGGACAATTTACTTAAATTAAAAGTGTTTTTTTTTTTTTTTTTTTTTTTTGGGTGGGGGGGGATCCATTCCTACTACTACTTCTACTGCTAGTTCATTATTCTTTACGTACAATCATAAATTCTTCTTAACAATTTCAAACAAATTAATATTTCAAATTATTTCTGTGTTTAAAGTGTTTATCTTTTTTCTGGCAGAAAAAATTCAACCACACCCCCCACATCATTATCATCACCATCAACTCTTTCTGAAGCACGCGTGCAGTTCAAAGCAAAAAGAAAGCAAACGACAAAAGAGAAAGAGATAGAGGAGAGAAATGTTGTTGTTTTCATTGAACAAAATGGATTTACAGCAAAAGTTAAATTTGAATAAATAGAAAAAGTTGGTTCGCTTTTCTCTCAATTGAATTATACATATGCTGGCATGTTTTGGTGTTTATTGGGGGGACAAGACAGAGCAAAGAAAAAAAAAAGTGACCAACAATTTATCTGCAGTCTTTTTTGAGTCGTATATATAATATGAATAGTAGAAGAGTTTTCTTACAAGCATGAAAAATTGTCAGTTGTGTAATATGCAAGGGAATAAAATCCAACAGTTTGAAACTTATATACATTTACTAGCTAGTTTTGAATTTTCCCATCAGTACTTGTATTTTTTAATACAGACAGAGAGAGATCACGAGGACCCATGTGGGTTATCTTGGATTTTTTTTTATTATTATTTTCTCGAGAAGAATTTTATGAGAGAGTATAAAAGATACACTATCAGACAAATACAATTATAACGTACTATAGATCATATCAGATAAAAAGTATGATAATTTGACGGAACTCAATGAAAATTTAATAATTAGACTGTATTGTACTAGTTTGTTTTTTTTTTTTTTTTTTTTTTTTTTTTTGGGTTCCTTACCAAAAATTCTCCCCTTCTCTTTTATAAATTGTTTCTTGATGTATCTTAGCTCTGGTCAGAGGTTTCTGCTAAAGTACGCATCTGATATCGACTTTAGAATGCAAAACTTGGGTACATTGTCCTCATGGATTTGAGTATTATATAAAAACACACGTGAGAAGATATCCACACGTGCGAGGGATCGGTATGAGCGGATAATATGGGGAATCGAGTACATTACAATTGAACCGCAAAAAAAAAATGTCATTTATTAAAAAAAAACCAGAAACAGTTTGCTGCTCATCATTTTGGCATCAATGCCATTTTCCCACTACACAAACAAACAAAAATAAGATTTAACGTAAATATCTTTCTGAAAAAACGCATGAAAATAATGCTGGGATTTTGCTTTTTTCTGTTTGCTTAACGATCATTTCATGTGTGCACTAAATGTGATATATATGGGAATATTGTGTTTTAGTTTGGATTTTGTGAGAACTAATTACAAATTATACAATCTTATAAACTCTCTCACGAAAGAAGATTGGTTGTAGTTTATTGTTGGGAACTTATTGATCAGGCTGATCTCCTTTTCATTAATTTTTATCTTAATTAATTATTTATTTATTTAATTGCTATTACCCCAGGCAAAAAGAAAACAATTTCCCAAACTAGACTAGTTGTCTTACATATGGTGAATAAAGGTTCACATAAATGTATTTTATCTTGAGTAGTAGTATTACAGTTAAAGAAAAGTCGTGTGTGTGCGTATATATATATATATATATATATACACATATATTAAAGTATAGTACTAACCTCCATTGAGCCAAAGAACAAGAGGTTTTTTCTCAGGCAACGAGGAAGCTTCAGTTAACCAATAGAAGAGGGCTCTACCATGTTCCTGATTGACTGTGACATACCCAGAAAACTGAGAAAATGCCACCTTTGGTTGGCCAGGAAGTGCAGAGATTCGATCTAATTCCTTCTCTTTTTGCAAAAGTGACACTGAAGAAGCTGCTGCTGAAATATTTGTATTAAAACATGACACTAAGAAGAAGAACAACAAGAAGAGGACTAGAACTTTTTGGAAAATGACCATTATTATTATTATTTGTTCTCTGATGATCAGGAGAGAAATTGAAGTTGGGAAAGTAGTGTTGGAAAGTTTGGAGATATATATGTAGAGTGAGAAGTGCAGGCTGAAGAATTATATGGGTCTAAAAGTACTATAGATGGCGTTGCTTGCTTTAGTGTGTGTGTGTGGCCAATTACCAGTCTCTGAATGTGAATATGAAGTGTTTGCTGCATTACTACACAACTGCAAGTTGGCACAGCTGACTCTGTATGTGGACCTGCTCATGACACCCTCTCTCTCTCTCTCTCTCTCTCTAAGATTTAGAGAGAGAGAGACAGCTGGTCCTACAAGAGAATTGAAACCTAGATGCAAAGATCAAAGTCTTTAGGAGGCTAATTAAACCATCCTAATAAATGCATCACAAGACTTGGTAAGGTCGGGCTATTATTATTATTATTATTATTATTATTTCTTTTTGGAGAATTCTGCTGAGATCACCTACTCAGGATTGTGAAATGTTCGATTACATCAGAGTCATATTAGATTACGATGTATGTGATAATTTAACGTAACATGATAGAGATCGTAATGATGCAAATTTGGATATTCTAATTTGCGGATCAACTTTCAGCTAAAAAAAGTTAAGGAATGGAATGACATTGATACATTTAGATATGTACGACTCAGTTTGCAGTTTTAGCTCAGTTAATGCCTTTTCAACTAATTGTTAGATGAGCTCAATTACCAGCCGGATTTTTTTTTTTTCTAATTAAAAAAGAAGTAATATCCATGAAGAATTAATAGTTATACTAAACAAAACTGACCTTTTTTACGGAGATTAATCCTCGAGCCAAGCTATGGAGCTAAAGATCAATACATTATTATTATTTTTTTCAATCACATTAATTAGTTGACTATTTGTTTCTCTCAAAAAAAAAAAAAAAAAAAAAAACTGCTATTTGACTCAACGTTTTGACTAGAATTAAACAAATGTGTGACGGTGTGGTTTTAATAGTTATTTCAATATTTATTTGTCAATAAATATTGTTATTTTAACAATGTATTATTATTGAGATAATTGTACCAATTTAGGTAGTTGATTAAAAAAAGTATGATAATTGATTAAATTGTATTCTTTAGTATATCATTAAATTTTTATATTTAATAGACAAGTATGGAAATGTAAGCATTAGAAACTCGTGTATAAATAAAGTTTTAACATAACATGGAAGAATAAAAAGTGCAAGTGGTCCTGAACGGTGAGCATGGAGAAGAAGACGTTGGGCCAATAGCAAATATTGTGGAGAGGTGGGGTTGGAATTTCTTGTGACCCCTACTATTGGGCATTTTATAGTCTTTGATTCTTTGAATATGATATGAGACAAGTGAAGCTGGAATCTGACAAATAAGAGTGCGCATAAACAACAAGAAATGTCTACCTCTTTTTTTTTTTCTCTTTTCTTTTCTTTTCTTTGTTAATATATGATGCAATAATCCACAGGTACAGGTCAAAACTCCTCTGATTTTTTTTTCCCTATCTCTTTTAAATTTCTTGGGTGAAAAGAATACTCCCAAGTTTAGTGTACAAAAATAACAGTATAAAAAAATGAGTGATCAGTCAATCTTCTTTGAGTTTCCCTCTTTTGGCCATGCAATTGTCTAATTGCCCTAATTGTTGTAAAAAAAAAAAGTCTAATTAATTAACCCATAATTCGCAACTATATAACTTGTTTATTTGTGTTTTTCTAACATTAATATACATGAAAATTGTTTTATATATTGATTAAGCTTACGTATCCTTACGGCATTAATTAATTGTCACATAAGAAAATATGAGATTAAGTGAGTTTCATATATATAAGTGATCTTGATTTAGTTAGCATACTAATTAGTTGTTAACAACAAGTTTGATGATTTTCAAAGAGAAAATTGCTTAGTAGTACTATAATTTTACAGCTGCGTGTTGATTTGGTTTAAATGATTAGTTAAGGGTTTGGTCATGATTTTTCTATAGATTTCTATTACCTGTATAATAGAGTTGTCAATAAAAGTAGTTTGATAGGTTCACCAAATCGTCCTTCAAACCCCACACAAAGATCTAAAAAAAAAACACATTTATCTTGTTATATTATACTTAATAAGGATTATTGGCATTTTAATAACTTTCTGTTTCACAATGAGATTTCTTTTGTTTGTTAAACTAAAAATACAAAAGAAATGATATCATAGTTCGTTAACTTGTTGAGACCGACTCATTGACAACATATTTGGTTATGTCATTCGTTTCATTTATTCGAATCACTACTCTAATTTTGTTGTTGCTGTGTTGTTTGTTAAAAGTGGCTGTGACCATGCAGGTGATTGGTAAATTCTTTTTCAAAGTTGTTGTAAATACCATAAACAGAAATATTTGATAAACTATGTATAAAATTACTAGAAAGATGTATAATGCCTAAAATAGATATACTTTATCACACATATTTTTAGTAGTTTAATTTATATCTTCAAGGTCAATATTTATTATATTTTTACACTAAAATACTAAATATGTATATAATTTAAAAATATTTCAAAAAAAAAATTGTTAAATTTTTTATTCATTGTTGTTATTTTTAACATTTTGATAATTATAAAAAATATTTGAGTAAAATTTAACAGATTATATTTATTAAAGGCTTTTTCATTTTTAAATAAGTATTTAAATATATATTTTTAATTTAGCATAAAAAATAAATACATTAGTAGATAGAGAATTAAGTTTATAATTAAGGTTATTTTAGTAATTTGACATTGACAGTAAAAGTACCTGTGCAAAAGAAATTCTTAACATGCTTATCAAATTATGTTATTTAACTGTAATTTGTAAAAGTTATTTGATATAAATAAGATTTACTAAACACTCTAACCTCAAACTTCTAAAAAAAAATTAAAAAATTAAAAACAGTCTCTAAAAACAATAACCTGCCCTAAAAAGGAGAGTTCAAATTCAATGGTGCTCATTATTACTTTGGTTTTTGAAACTTATTTTTATCATCACCCAATTATTAAACTTTCGTGAGTAGGAAAAAATGTCCTCTTTGTCTAAAATTTTGGACCTGATTAGTCACTAAAACTTTTTTAGATTCTTAGTCACATAATATTTATTTAAGGGACCAATGCATAATTACAAGATAATTAATCCAAAAATGAAATTTAGTGAGTAAAGTGTTACTCGGTATAATCCAGAGATGCTTTTTGAGATGCTCTTTTCATTTCTCTCTTGTAATCATTTATAAAATTTTGAAATATTTTCTTGTTGTAAATAAATTAATTTCATTCTACATATTAATTTAAGATATTTGGATTATTGCTTTTGCAGAGAGACGGTAAAATTATGATGGTATAGTAAATTAAATTAGAACCGTGCAGTTCTACACAACTCTATATTTTTAAAGGGAACATTACTTTAAGATTTTAGATTATTCTCACTATTTTAATATATATTAAAATTTAGGTTAATCTCACAAATGGTTCTTGAGATTTACTTTCAATCTCATTTTTTTCTTTGACTTTAAAACGTCTCACAATTGTCCCTGAGGTTTTATTTTGTTTCAGTTTTAATCATTCTATTATCGTCTTTAAATTTTAGATAATTGTACTTTTTAGTTCCTTATTTACATAAATTATGTCAAATATTTAACATTTAGCTAATAGAACAACTAAAATTAAAATAAAATAAAAACTCAAAGACCAGATGCGAGGTGTTTAAAATGACAAAAATTAAAGTTGAATTGAGGGTAAACCTCAAAAACTATTTGTAGGATAATCCCTAAAATTTTTAAGTTGTTGCACCCGCAAAATCTTGATTCAAACACATTTTTAAGTGTATCTATATATTTATATATGTATGCTTTCTATTAAAAAATAAAGTTATTTACCTGTTTTATTCTTTGTATTTTAGGTTTTTTTTTTTTTTTTTTGCTGATAAAGGTTTATTTAAAAAAAATATTCTTTAAGGTTTTTTATTGCATCAAATACAATATATTTGATAGACAAATATATATCTTTTCTCGACCAACACTTAATTTCAAGTTTCGACCCCAAAAATCCTTAAAAAAAAATTCCAAGTAATAAATAAAAAAAAAGTTTGAGCACGCTTCTATGTACTCAATGTGAATTTTTCTAATTTTTGTCATACTTGGGGAGTTTATTCAACAGTTACTGGTGTTTGTATTCTATTATAATTATACTACCTTTTTATAAATTTTTATCTTTTGATAATCGAGTACCTCTTTTATAAAGTTGAAAAGGGACTTGTCCATGCAAAAAGTTACGAAACTTCTTATAGAGCACAACATAATAATAAACTCGGTTTAATCACACTTTGCTTTGGTTTTCGTACTTGACATCATAAAGCCTGAAAGCAGACTTATCCATGCAAAAGTTGGTACTATTATACTCTTTTTCCAAGAGGATGGAACTGATGTGCTGACCAGTGCCTTAATTGACCGTAGGTCTCCAACTTCACGCATAATAAAATAGGAACAAAACAGAGTCTAGCCACCTTTTTGGGTTTGCCTTTCAGTTCGACCGCTCTTATACTATAAATAACGTGTCCGCTCTTATACTATAAATAACGTGTAGCAAGTCTATTTATTTTATAGGATGAATTACAAAAATTCCCTAAATTATAACTAGATAATACTATCATGATTAGAAGGTTAGTTTAAGCCGAGCTAAATAAGCCAGTATGAGATTCGACAGTTTTAGTCTGGTCCTACCCCACTTAAGTTTTCAGATCGGGTCAGGCCGGGACCTAAATTTTGAGCTTGAAACCTTATTTGGGCTGGCACATCTTTTTAAACTTTTTTACTCCTCAAAAATACATTGTAAAACTCAGGCCGGGCCGATCTTCCTCTTGTTCTTCTAACCATCGTCTAATCATTTAACGACAACTATTAGCTGTCGTTCTCATATTTGTACTAGTGTATATTGAAAGAGGGAGATTGAAGAGAGTACTCAAAGTTAGGGGTGTTCGTCGGTTCGGTTTTGTCAGTTTTGGTCAGTTCGGTGGCCGAACCGACTATGTCGGTTTTCTAAAAGTTAGAACCGAAACCGAACCGCACCTATCAATTTCGGTTCGGTTAACCGAATTTCAGTTTCGGTTCGGTT